CTGCTTTTAATATTTTTTCTTTGATTTTAATTTTTGTTAGTCTGATTAATATGTGTCTTGGTGTGTTTCTGCTAGGGTTTATCCTGTATGGGACTCTCTGTGCTTCCTGGACTTGGGTGACTATTTCCTTCCCCATGTTAGGGAAGTTTTCTACTATAATCTCTTCAAATATTTTCCCAGACCATTTGTTTTTCTCTTCTTCTTCTGGGACCCCTATAATTCGAGTGTTGGTGCATTTATTGTTGTCCCAGAGGTCTCTGAGATTGTCTTCATTTCTTTTCATTCTTTTTTCTTTATTCTGCTCCTTGGCAGTTATTTCCACCATTTTGTCTTCCAGCTGACTTATTCGTTCTTCCGCCTCCGTTATTCCGTTATTGATTTCTTCTAGTGTATTTTTCATTTCAGTTATTGTGTCGTTCATCTCTGTTTGTTCTTCAGTTCTTCTAGATCTTTGTTAAACATTTCTTGTATTTTCTCAGTCTGTGCCTCCATTCTGTTTCCAAGATTCAGGATCATCTTTACTGTCTGAATTCTTTTTCAGGTAGATTGCCTGTTTCCTCTTCATTTATTTGGTCTTGTAGGTTTTTACCTTGCTCCTTCATCTCTGACATATTTCTTTTGCCGTCTCAGTTGTTTTGTTTTGTTTTTTTTTTTTTTGATGAGTGGGATTGTGTTCCTTTTTTACTTGTTGTTTGGCCTGAGGCTTCAAAAACTGGAGTTTGTAGGCTGTTGTATAGAGCTGGGTCTTGGTGTCGACATGAGGACCTTCGGGAGACCTCATTCTGATGAATATTCCCTGGGGTCTGAGGTTCTCTGTTAGTCCAGTGGTTCAGACTTGGAGCTCCCACCACAGGAGCTTTGGCCCAACCCACGGCTCATGAACCAAGATCCTGTAAGCCATGTGGGGTGGCCAAAAAATGCCCTAATCCTAACCCATAGGCTAACACTAACCCATGACCTGACACGTATAACAGATATGTTAGAAAGAATATAAAAATAAAAATATGGATGAAACAACAACCGGAAGGTAAAACAGAACCACAATAGTAAAAAAGAGGAGGAGAAAGAAAAAGAAAAAGGTGGAAAAGGCCTTGGCTGTGGAGGGTGGGGCCTAAGCAGGGGTGGGGTTTGGGTGGTGGGCAGGGCCTATGCCTAGGACCCACAGGGCTGGAAAAAGCCCTGGGGGTGTAGGGGGTGGGGCTTAGGCTCAACAGAACAGAAGGGGCCCAGGTGTGCTTCCTGCCTCTGGTCTCAGAGGGTGGGGCACCCCACCTGGGAGCCCAGCAGGGCTCGAGTGGGTGGGGCAAACGCCCTCTGCTGCTGTCCTCCAGTCCCCAAGGGCCTCTCCCGCCTGCCTCTCCTTTTCTCCCCTGGCCTCCTTCCTATGCTCCCAGGACCAATGTGGCAGTGGGTGGGAGGGGGACCCTTGGAGGGCAGGGGACTGGCCTAGGAGCTCAACAGCCTCCCTGGACCTGAGTCG